CTGAATTGTACACCTAAAATGGTTAAAATGCTAATTTTAATGTTATGTATATTTTACCACACTTTAAAAAATACCAAGTACATAAAGACTTCCATTCCCTGCAATATGGTATATTCGCCATCCTGGGGGGGAAAAACAAAAACAAAAACCCTTCAAGTACAAAAAAATATATAAAAAAATAGGCAGACGCACTGGTGCACGCCTATAATCCCAGTGGCTCCAGGTGGATATGTACCAAAAACAAAACAAAAATTTGTATGTTTTTTTTTTTTTTTTTTGTACTGGGGATTGAACTCTGGGGCACTCTACAACTAAGCTACATGCCCAGGCCTTTTTATCTTGAGATAGAGTTTCCCTAAATTACCAAGGCTGGCCTCAAACTTAAAATCTTCCTTCCTCAGCCTCCTGAATAGAAGTAGTCAGCATTAAAGGAATATGCCACCCCACTAGGCAATCTTTGTTGTTTAAAGCCACTAGATTTTAGGGTTTGTTTCCAAAGCATATCCTGGCTTATCCTGATGGGTGCAATTCGGTGTTATAAATGTAGAATCTAATGACCCCAGAAACAATCTGTCAGCTTACAACTGATGAGAAATCAACATTCCTAAATGTAATGTCAAACTTAAAATTTTTGAATACTAACATTTTAAAATCAATAAATAAGAGTTATATATTTTTATCATGCACAGCATACAGTTATGAAATATGAATACATTATGCAGGGCTGGGGTGGTGGCTCAGCGTTAGAGTGATCACCTTACACGTGCCGTGCGAGACCTGGGTTCGATCCTCAGCACCACATAAAAATAAATAAGTGAAATAAAGGTATTGTGTCCAATTACAACTAAAAAATAAATATTTTTAAAAATACATTATGCAGTGGCTAATTGAATACTAATATTTTCAATTAAAATTATAGTAAGATTTTTAATTTTTATATTTCACATATTCTTTTATCTTAGAAGTTTATTATAATATGGTGATATTGTGCTTCAACCGGATATTGATTTGTAACATTCTGCCAAATATATATATTCAGGGCCCCTCTAAAAATTATTTACTAAATTAAAATGATATGAATAAAATCTTGGCTATGTATTCTTTATTTAAAATAGTAGTTACTTAACTGAAACCTGAAATGATTTGTAAATTAAGTCACAATTTTTTTCTGTGAAAAAATACCATGACTTTTAAGAAAAAATTAGAAGTTCTTTGTTGTCATTGTACATCTTCTATAATGTCTGTTCTGCTGCCACCAGCTGGCTTCCAGTACTGCTAAACTCCAGTAACCAGCAGGATTCAATTCTGTGCTTTGTTTTGACTGCTGGGCTCCTGATGAGAACACCAACTCAGTTGAATAACTAAATTTTAGGCTGGGAACAGAAAAGCACAATCAACTCATTTCCTCCATATTTTAGGTTATCAGATAGCCACAAGGTAGCTGGTACTGGTCTCAGCAAGTAGTCCAGACAAAGCTTCTGGCTAACACAAGAGTAGCCATTTCAATCCTTAAATTAGTAGTTTCTTCCCAGGGAAAAATATTATTAAATGTTAGAGTCTTGGGGCTGAGGCTGTAGCTCAGTGATAGAGTACTTGCCTAGCATGCATTAGGCACTGGGTTCAATCCTTAGCACCACATAACAAATAAGATAAAGGCATTCTGTCCATTTACAAAAATAATTTTTTTAAAAAAAAGTCTATAATACCAAACAGAGGTCAATTCAAATACAACATTGCACTGATAGCTTTAGTGTAATTTTAGGCTTTAATAACTTTAAGAAGTATAAATTCTATGAATTTACACAAAACATCATTTGAAGGTAAAATTAGTTAAATTTCATGATCATTTGGTTTTGTGAATTTTTGAACAGTAAATATATTTTAAATTTTTTGTTTCAGTCAATATTTACCATCGTGTTGGAATATTAAAATTCAATATTATTTGAAATTCAAAAAATTAAGTAATGGAGCAGCTCAGGAGGCTGAGGCAGGAGGATCACATGTTCAAAGTCAGCCACACAACAAGGAGGCACTAAGCAACTCAGGGAGACCCTGAGTTCAATACCCGGTACCAAAAAAAAAAAAGGGTGGGGGGTGAGGTTGTGGCTCAGAAGTAGAATACTTGCCTTGTACACATGAGGTGCTGTGTTCAAACCTCAGCATCACATAAAGTAAATAAATAAGTAAAATAAAGGTATTGTGTCTATGAAAAAAATTAAGTAATGGAGATTTAAATGAGTTTCAAGGAAATTTAAATGACTTTCAAGTGATGATTTTTCTAAGTTTTATCATTTCTATCTAAGAAGTTCTCAAAGTTTAAGACAGCACTAAGACCTTTGGGACACCTGTATGTGAAAATGTGGAGTGGTGGGGGGCAAACATAAGCTTTTATAATTTATACTCAGCTATGTTCAAAGAAAATTGACAGTAGAATGAGACGGACATCATTACCCTAAGTACATGTATAAAAACACAAATGGTGTAACTCTACTTTGTGTATACCAGTAGACATGGAAAAATGTGCTCTATTTGTGTAATATGAATTGAATTGCATTCTGCTATCATATATAACAAATTGAAATAAATAAAATAAAAAATTAAAAAATAAAATTGAAACCATTTATAACAACATATACACACATATAAACAAAAAGATGTAAAGCTGAGTCAAAAAATTCTGGAAGCTAGAGAGACATGTTTCTAAGTGACTGAAACATTAGGAAAAGTATGGGAGAATGATGCAAGTTAGTAGCATTATCTATAAAACAGTTTTCCCATATTATACTACATTTTCACTTTGAAGGGGGTTGAGGATGCATTTATATTTGGGATACTTGTCCTAAAGATAGTATTAAGACCTTGATATTTTTGTATTAACACTATTATTGCTGATGATGCTGTCACAGGAAAGCAAGGAGCTGGAAACTTCAAACCTTGATTCTTGTATTCCGACAAAAGAATTTTTTTAATGTTTACTTTTTAGTTGTAAGTGGACACAACACCTTTTTTTTTATTTTTATGTGGTGCTGAGGCTCAAACTCAGTGCCTCACACGTGCTAGGAAGTGCTCTCCCACTGAGCCACAACCTCAGCCCCTGATGAAATAAAATTTAAAGTCAAACACCAAAAGTCATGCAAGAGAACTTTATTATAAGTGAAAGTTAAACCTAAGTAAAACCTAAGTAAGTCTCATACAGGGAGCACTCTGAAATGAGTGGGCCATCTCTGAGCAGAGAACCGCAAGGAGACAATGCTGTCTACAAATTTATTACTGTTTGATGTTTAACAGGAGAACTGGGACCACTTTCTGTATTGTACCCCTTGCCAACCAGATGTTCAACTCCTACTTCATATGGGGTGGTGGAGTTTTTCACCTTAGTTGGTCCTCTCCAGAACTGTCATGGTGGCCATCCTATTTAAAAGGGCTTCGTTTATAAGTCAATCCCATGTTAATATAGGTGCTAGGGTCAATAGCTGGTCAGAAGTTACCTTAGTGCCCTGCTAAAGGAATCTTCCTTCCCAGAAAGATGGAGACACTTAGAGTTCCTAACTTCACATCAACCTCAGTGGACCCTGTCGAGTTAATTCCATTAATCCTTTTCTCTTGATGTGTTTTCCCATTAGCTCATTTGTTTCTGTTTAATGTCTACAAATTAAGTATAACCCTTAATTTCTTATCTACTTTGGAAGTAGTTTAAGAAAACCCTAAAGTAATTTAAAGAACACTCCTGACCTTGCCATGCATTTCACTTCTCTTTGCTAGCTACCATTTAACAATGCGTTTCCAAAAAGCTGAAACAATTAACTTTCAAAGATAAACAATAAAAGAATGCAGTGTGGGGGCTAGGGTTGTGGCTCAGTGGTAGAGCACTCCCCTAGCATATGTGAGGCCCTGGGTTCTATTCTCAGCACCACATATAAATAAATAAAATAAACGTGTTGTGTCCACCTACAACTAAAATACAAATAAATAAATATTTATATATAATATACGCAGTGGGGCTGGGTAGAGCACTTGCAACCATGCGTGAAGCCCTGGGTCCCAGTGCTAGAAGAAATTGCAGAAAAACACTTAATAAATATTAGTTTTCCTTCCCTCTAATAGAGATTGTCTAGTTCAGTGGTTCTCAACCTTGGCTCCACAGTGGAAAGACCCCTGAGTTTAAAAAGCACAGATCTTGGGTCCCACGGAGCTTTGGATTTTAATTGGTCTGGGTTACAAAATGAGCATCCAGAATTTTAAAGCCCCCTGGTGATCCTAATGTGCTGCTGAGGTTGAGAAACACTGCTCTAGTTCACTATATAATCAAGTATATGTCAATATAAAACTATGTGCAGATGTTCAGAGCTCCAAATTTTAACAGTAGCATCAATCTCAAATTTTATAATCAAAGAGGTTGGGGAAAATCAGTTAACAATCAACATTAATAAATCTCAAAAAATATGTCAAGCAAAATATGTCAGACATAAATGGTGTGATTCTATTTACATAAAGTTAAAAAAAAGAAAACGGAACGGGGCGGGGTGGGGGGAGGTTGGGGGAATCAACTGAGGAGGAACACTAGAGGGAAATTCCTGAGATGGAAATGTTCTACATTTTTTATTAGGGTATATGGAAATACTCATTTATTAAAACTCATCGAAATGAACAATTGAGATCTGTGTGTATGATTTCGTCATATGTAAATTACACTTCCGTAATAAGAATGAATAAATAAACCTGATTAACTTAAATGTGGATACCTATGTCCAGGTCGGGGTGGCAGCGATAATAATTACTTCAGATGATCCCCCAGATCTTATCAGATTAAAAAGAACTGCACACCTCAGATCAGAACTATTGAGAAGGGAGAGCACAAATCTCCACAAGACTGGTAGTCGAAAACAAGGGGTTCCCAAGCCAGCGGCGCCTAGTGTCACAAGAATATAATCCCCTACGCCGTTTTCCGGTACTCGTAAGTGCGACCGTGTATCGGCACCGGAAGAATCCGGAGGGAAACGTCTCCACCGCCTTAAAGGAACCGCAGGTAACTTGGTTCCCGCGCGGATGTTGGAGCTGTAAGGCGCCTGGCGGTCGGCGGCTGCGGCTCTGAGGGAGGAGGAAGCCGGGGCTCATCTTCTCTCCGCTGCCGCCATGATTCCAGTGTCGCTGGTGGTGGTGGTGGTGGGCGGCTGGACTGCCGTCTACCTGACCGACTTGGTGCTGAAGGTGAGGGCCTCGGGCCTAAGACCCAAGCCGGTGGTGACCAGGGCCCGATCGCAAGGTTCTGTGTCGCCCGAGGCCTTTCTCTTCCCCTGCCAAGAGCCTTCGGGGCTAGAAGCCTCACCGCCGGTGCCCACGTGCGGCCTTTTGCGTGGCGCATCCGCCCGATGGAGTAAATAAAGCACGGCTGGCTGCGGGAGGGGTGTGGCGGCCCGCGCAGCTACCGCTGCCGCATTGCGGGTGACGGTCATCGCTGCCTTTGGATCTTGACGGGAAGGCGACAATGGTGGGCTAGGGGATGCGGGGCGGTTCTTGCTGGACCCTACAGCAGCAGTGTACCAGGGAGGAAAATAAAACGTCTGTGTAGGAAAGGCTTTCTTTTCCCTCATTGTTTTAAGGTTACGACCCTCTAGAGACAATGGTATTGGAATGAATCTAAATCAAGTCATGATTGAAATCACTGATTTCAAATTTAGAGGTGCAGAGAGTCATCTTGGGGTTCCGGTTAAAAATGCAGATTCTGATTCAACAGATCTGGGAAGGTTCCTAAGATTATGCATTTCTAATCCGTTCCTGCATGCTACCGATGCAGCTGGTCCCCAGACCATTATTGAAAGTAGCACACTCAAGTATCAGGGATATAGATAACCAGTTTTCTATTATTCGAATTCTGATTTGCACCCTGCACCTTCTTCACACTAGCCACACACCCTCTGGGTGCATGGTCCATATTTGAGTTATTTGGGAATGGTAGCAAAAAATAGCAACGATTTTCTGACCACGTGCTTCAAGAACCTTTTCCAGTCGAATATTGGGGGGGGGGGACGGTGAGGGTAACTATATGTGGAATAAGATCATATACATTCTCAATGGTTTAATAAAAACACCAATTATGAACAGGAAAACCTTTATGTAATGAATACTGTTTTAAATAGAATGCTGTAGTATTGTGTGTCTTAGATATAACAATAAAATGAAGTGATGCTTGTTCGTCATTATTTTTAAACTTGCCAAGTGCAAGAGATTATACACGTAGTTCTTAGGAGAGCTGGGTGCTGCCACTTCCTAACCATTTTGACTGGGCAAATTACTATCTGTGCCACAGTTTCTCATCTTTAAATAGGAATACTAATAGGAAGGATCTCCTGAGATTATAGAGAGGAATATGTTAGTACATCCACATAAAGGCTTGTTATACAACCTGAGGTGTAAGGACCCCATCTCAAAAAAATAAAAGGACTGGGGATGTAGCTCAGTGGTAAAGCACCCCTGGGGTTCAATCCCCAGTATCACACACAAACACACACACACACACACAAAGTCAAATCTATACAGTCTTTCATCAAGTGTGTGAGGTGATCAGGATGTCTCTTTAATTTCAGTAACAGCCCTCAGCTCCCTAAGAGTATTAATTCTCAATCAAAAGACCTAATGACTCATTCAGAGTGTCTGCCTAGGGATAGAGAGACCTTAACTTTAGGAGCTTGTACCTTCTGCTTCTCTGCTTCTAGCTTGATCTGCTATTCCACCCTTAGTTGTTTTTTGTTTTGTTTTAGCATTTTTTGCAGTACATATCTGCTGGAGGGGTATGTCACTCTCCTTTTAAAGTCTTGGAAAACTAAGAGGTTTTAAAAGCTACCCAAAGACTGAGATGAGAAAACCTTAGATATGTATATTCAGACTCAGGTCACTTTTTAATCACTGTGATAGGGCTGAAATAACCTTCTAGGACAAATAAGCCTCACATAGGTGAGCATCAATTATATCTATTTACAGTCCTTATTATAATTGTCACATATATATCATAGCCTTATGTTATCTATAATCCTGTATTAGTCAAGTACTTCAAACTCTCCTAAATATAAAACTATTGTAGCTGTGTATAAGCAACTATTCCCACAACCCCCAGAAAATTTAAGAGATGTTACTGAGACCAAGATGGCTTTAGGTAAGTTCTATACTTTTACATGTTGGAAGTTGGCCTAATTTAGGGCTTTCTCCAAAGATAGAAAGCACAGATTACAGCTGAGCATGGTAGCATATGTTTCTAACTGCAGCTACTTAGGAGGCTAAGGCAGGAATATCACAAACTTGAGGCAGCCTGGGCCTGTCTCAAAGCAGAAAATAAAAAAAGGGTTGGAGATCTACCTAAGTAATAAAGGGCCTCTGGATTCAATCCCCAGTGTAGCAAAAAGAAAATTAAAAAGAAGGAAAGCACTGATTCCAACTAACCTATCCTTTGTGTTGAATTGATTGTTACATAAGGTGTCTTTCCTTTCTGTGGTAAAAAGGAAACCTGTGCTGTCCAATATGGTAGTTGACCACATGTGACTATTAAGCATTTGACATAGAGCTAGTCTGAATAGAGATGTGCTGTAAGTTTAAAGTTGATACTAGATTTCAAACAAAGTCAAAACCAGTATCTCAATATTTTATTATATTCATTACATGTTGAAATGATATCTCGCATATTTGGGGTTAAAATACATGCTAATTAATCACTTTTTGATTATTTAAAACTTGACTGATTGACAATTTAAAATTATATGTTGTTAACATTTGTGGCTCACATTATATTTCTGTTGGACAATACCATTCTAAGCAGAGGTCAGCAAACTTCTATAAAAGATTTTAGTCTTTGTGGGCAACACAGTCTATCTGTCATATATTCCTGTTTGTCATTGGTTTTTAAAATCCCTTAAAAGTGCAAAAACTAGGCTGGGTACAGTGGCGCACACTTGAAATCCCAGTAGTTCATGAGGCTGAGTCAGGAGGATCGCAAGTTTGAGACCAGCCTCAGCAACTTAGCGAGGTGCTAAGCAACTCAGTGAGACCCTGTCTCTAAATAAAATACAAAATAGGGGCTGGGGATGTGGCTCAAGGGTAGCGCGCTCGCCTGGCATGCGTGCGGCCCGGGTTCGATCCTCAGCACCACATACAAACAAAGATGTTGTGTCCGCCGAAAACTAAAATAAATTAAAGTTCTCTCTCTATATCGCTCTCTCTCGCTCTCTCTTTAAAAAAAAAATACAGGATTTGGCTCAGTGGTCGAGTGCCCCTGAGTTCAATCCCCAGTACCAAAAAAAGTGTAAAAACTATTCTTAGTTCACAGGCTATACTAATACAGGTTGTAAGCCATATTTGGTTTGTGGGCCATGATTTGCCAGACCCTAACTTCAGCAGTTCAAACCTTTAATACTCTGAAGAATAAACAGAAAGCTTTAAAAGATATTTGAGCAGTTCAGCATTGTGATTTCTTATAGAAAATACTTTTTTCACTTCTTATATGTTATAAATTGTTCTTCAAAATTAAGTGATATGAAATTTTTTTCTTTCTCTTATAGTCATCTGTATATTTTAAACATTCTTATGAAGACTGGCTGGAAAACAATGGATTGAGCATCTCCCCTTTTCACATAAGATGGCAAACTGCAGTTTTCAATCGTGCCTTTTATAGTTGGGGACGGCGGAAAGCAAGGATGCTTTACCAGTGGTACTCTTCATCTTCTCTTTTTGATTTAAATTAGACATGTTCATGAGGAATAGCTTGTTAAATTAGCCATTTTCATCATATTTTTGATCTACCAAGTTTTTGAATATTGGCAGTAGAAAATTTTCCTAGTTTTTAATAACTATAGGATTGTGTCATTGTGCTTTTACATACATTAAAAATCATGGTTGTGCTGGGCATAGTGGCAAACGCCTGTAACCCCAGCAGCTCAGGAGGCTGAGAAAGGAGGATGTAAACTTCAAAGCCAGCCTCAGCAACCGTAAGGCACTAACCAACTCAGTGAGACCCTGTCTCTAAATAAAATACAAAATAGGGCTGGGGATGTGGCTTAGTGGTTGAGTACCCCTGAGTTCAATCTCTAGTACACACACACACACACACACAAAATCATGGTTGTACAACTATAATGCACCAATAAAAAATGTGGGGGAAAAATTGTGTTTTATGGTTTGGGTTTACAATGATCTCTAGTATACCCCAGATCCTGACAGGTTCTTAGTTGAGGGAAGGTGGGGTTGGAGGGTGGTCTGAATTCCTTTTTGTTACAAATATAGCTCCAGATAGATTACAGCTAAATATAAACAATTAAATCAACAGAAAATGCAACAGCTAATCAAAGTATACAGTAGAACAAAGGAAATAATAAGAGCAGAAATTAGTGAAATAGAAAGTATACAATAAAGAAAATTGGCAAAGCCAAATTTTGGTTCTTTGAAAGGATTAATAAAAGTAACTAATCAAGAAAAGAAGAAAACACAAACTCAAAATCAGAATTGATAAGAGGATGTTACTACAGATTCTGTAGACAAAAAAAAGAGACTATTAGGAACAAGTCTACAATTATAAATTTGACAGTTTAGATGAAATGAACCAGTTCCTTGAAAAACACAATTTATCAGAAAGTTAAAAAATAATCTGGTTGTGGTAGCACACACCTATAATTCCCAGCAACTTGGGAGGCTGAGGCAAGAGGATCTCAAGTTTTAGGCCAGGCTCAGCAATTTATTGAGGCACTCAGCAACTCGGCTACTCAGCAAGACTCTCTCTAAAATTTAAAAAGGCAGGTGGTGCACCTGGGAATATGGCTCAGTGGTTACACACCACTGGGTTCAATATTTGGTACAAATAAATAAAATAAAAACATTAGGATGGGCTCAGTGGTTAAGTGCCCCTGGGTTTAATCCCTGGTACCAAAAGAGAAAAAAGAAAAAGGAACATATTATTCTCCACTATAGCACAGCAACTTCTAATTATTAAAAAAGTAGAAGAAAATGAACTATTAAATCTTCCCATATTAATATTTAGACTAATTTATCTCAAAGTAAAGCTAAAATACAATGCAGACAAAAATAAGTGAAAAACAATGGTATATAATGCCAAGAGCTGTCTAACTGTGTTCAAATAAGATCAAAATAGAGCTGTGTAAATGAGCAAATACATGAGAGGAACCCAACTATTTTTTTTTTAATTGGGATCAACACTGAGCCTCTCTGGGTACCAGGAAATTGTAAATTATTATAACTGCTTAAAGAAATTAGTGCCAATGCTAGAGTCAAGTATTTGAAGTTCAGAGAGGAAAACGAGACAGAGTTGTTGAACATTTAGCCATTATTTTAAAGCTATGAAGTGTGGTTGGGTAGAGAATTTGTTAGTGCACAGATTGTGAAGAGTTGTACATTTATATGATTTTTTTTCATCTTGACAGGTTCAATTTTGGAATGGTCTTTGGTGTAATTGCCATGTTTAGCTCTTTTTTTCTTCTTGGAAAAACATTGATGCAGACTTTGGCACAGATGATGGCTGACTCTCCCTCTTATTCTTCCTCTTCCTCTTCCTCCTCCTCTTCCTCTTCTTCTTCTTCCTCCTCTTCCTCCTCTTCCTCTTCTTCCTCTGCTCTTCACAATGAACAGGTGTTACAAGTTGTGGTAAGTACCTTCTTTTTGTTTTAAATAACTGTTGAAATGTAGATACAAGATTTCTTTCTGGCTAGTATACCTAGTATCCATAATATAAACATGAAAATAAAAGCCTTAAAATTTTTCAAATTACTTGCTTAAATAAAAAATACTGGGGGCTGGGGTTGTGGCTCAGTGGCAGAGCCTAGCATGTGTGAGGCACTGGGTTCAATCCTCAGCACCACATATAAATAAATAAAATAAAAGGTCCATAGACAACTAAAAACATTTTTTAAGTAAAAAATACTAATTAGTAAGTAATGAGTGGAATTGTGATATTTGGTAGTAGCATAATAGTTATAGCAGTGAACAAATGGACCAGTATCAAAACTGTCAGCAATTACAGAGATATTCAGCTTAATTCATATTGTCATCTTAAGGTGTTAAATGATTGTTGCTTTCAAGGAATAAGCATGCTGACTTAAGGTATCTATAATGTACAAGTAAATTGCATTTTAGTCTTATGCAGAGTGTTCTCCTTTTCATTCCATGGCTTTCAGAGTATAACCAATGATATCTTTTTAATTAAAAGTATAGCTGGGCTGGCAAGATGGTGTGCCTATAATCCTAACAGCTGGGGAGTCTGAGACAGGAGGATTGTGAGTTTAAAGCCAGCTTCAGCAAAAGTGAGGCACTAAGCAATTCAGTGAGACCCTGTCTCTAAATAAAATATAAAATAGGGCTGGGGATGTGGCTCAGTGGTCGAGTGCCCCTGAGTTCAATCCCCAGTACCCGCCAAAAAAAAAAGTATAGCCAGGCGTATGGCACGGGCCTGTAATCCTGGTGGCCTAGGAAGCTGAGGCAGGAGGATCACAAATTTGAGACCAGCCTCAGCAACTTAGCAAGGTGCTAAGCAACTTAGTGAGACCCTGTCTCTAAGTAAAATACCAAAAAAAAAAAAAGCCTGAGGATGTGGGTGAATAGTTAAGTGCTCCTGAGTTCATTTCCTGGTTCCAAAAAAAAAAAAAGTATAATACTGGGATTGTGAGTGTTGCTCGGTGGTAGACTGCTTGTGGGCATGTGTGAGACCCTAGGTCCAATCCCTACCACCACAACCACACACAAGAAAAGAGGTATAACACCTTTCCAAACAGTCACTGTGATTCTTGGTGTAAAGAATAATGTGCTGAATTGTACTCCTTTGACTGTAATCTATTTATAATAATTCTTACATTAAAGAATGCGTATATACCTATACCTACCATTCCATGGTAAGCCCTCTACCAACTGAACCATATCCCCAGTCCCCCCCCCACCCTTTTTAAGCAGAACTGGGGATTACACAACCCAAGTCCTCAGGCATGCTAGGCAAGCACTGTGCCACCGTGCTACATCCTCAGCCCTAGTTGGTTCACTTTTATTTCACATTTTTAAATTATAGTTCCCATTCCATGAAGCATGGATGTTAAGTTTTTAATCATGTTTTGTTAGTGGAATATACTGTTTAAGAGTCAGTAACAGTTATATTTGCAGACTGGGTTTTGAACCCAGAGGTGCTCTACCACTGAACTACATCCCTAGTTTTTTACATTAAGTTGCCCAGGCTGGTGTCAATCTTGCGATCCTCCTGCTTCAGCCTCCTAAAATTAGCTGGGATTGTAGTTATGCCAACCATGCCCAGGTCCTCTTTCTATTTTTTTTAACTCATCTCTTTGTGATCTCTGCTAGGCTCAGTAATTATGGGAAGAAGTCATTTATAGAGAATGATAAATAGTCAGTTTTTTCTTAGAAGTAAAAACTATTCACCAGGTGAAGCACTAGAAAAGATTATAACTAGGCCCTATTTACATGGGGAACAGAAATCCAATCCTGGCATTCATGGAACTTTTAGAAGGATAGCTTCTATGATTGCACTACAGTTGAACATCATATAAGGTGCTGGGGGAACAGTATAGGAATGCAAAGTGAGCCTGGCACTGGGAAAAGAATAAAAAGAGAATCTTAACAGAATAATGAGGAGAGTTCACATTGACTAGGAAAGGAATATAGAAATTGGGCATCTCAGTAATGAAACAATGTAACATAGGAGGGAATAATCATAGTAATAATAAGACCTAGTTAACATTCAGCACTTCCTGTGTAAGCTTTCTGTACCTTTTTTATTTTACTCTTATGATTATCCAGAGGTAACTATTGGTCTTCTCCCTGACTTACCAATGAAAAAAATCAAGGCACAGAGATAGTGACTCTACCTGTGGTCACAGCTAGTAAATAATAGGTCCATCATCACTGACCTTAGAGCCAACACACATTATGTTGTATTCCTCTGGAGGACAGATATTTCAAGAAAGTATAAATAATATTGACCTTTATCTATGAATTATATGGTGGAAGAATGGGCAGGAGTGTCAGCAAGAGAACAAGACAATGCAGGAGATAAGATGGGAAATATAGGTAGGGTCTAGGTTAGGAAGGACCATTCTAGGAAGTTTTAGTTTTACCTATACATAATAGATATGTGCAAAATGGAGCAAAGTTGTCTAAACTAAAGATAGGGAGACCATTTAAGAAGGCTATTAGAAGTGATGAAGATCTAAACTAAATTAGTGGTATAGGAAAAGGAAGAGATGGATTCAAGTTATCTTTTGGAGTGCAGTTTTTAGACTTAGTGGCTGATTGAATGTGAGGTTAGAGGAAGAAGGAATAGTTCATGATGACTCCTAGGTTACCTGACTGGTTATTATTCACCAAAAAGAGGATAGGGTGGAAAAAAACTGATGGAAAAAACATGATCATTGACAGATGTCTCTACCTCCTAGATTTTGAATGACAAAATGTTGTGTAGAGAAATTGTTTCTTCTTTCTGATTTTCAGTTTATTCTAGTTTTCACAAAAATATTCATTCTATTAGGCAAACCGTGCTTTGGAACCATTAAGTTAGCAGCCAGCTCAGGAGGCTGAGGCAGGAAGGTTGTAAGTTCAAAGCCAGCCTAGGCAACTCAGTAAAATCCTATTTCAAAATTAAAAAATAAGGGGCTGAGTGTGTAGGTCAGTGGTAGAGTGACCCTCGGTTCAATCCTTAGTCCCTACCCTCCACATACACACAAAGAAGTCAGCAAACCTGTAGTCCACCATGCCTATTTATGTGTAATTAAGGACATTATGTCTGATGGGTGCAGTGGCACACACCTGTACTCCCAGCAGCTTGGGAGGCTGAGGCAGGAGGATTGCAAGTTCAAAGTCAGCTTCATTGTATAGAGTACAGTGAGGCCACAAGCAACTTAGTAAGACTCTGTCTCAAATTTTTGAAAAAGGGCTAGGTATGTGTCTCACTGATTAGGTGTCCCTGGGTTTAATCCATGGTACCAAAAAAAAAAAAAAGAAGAAGAAGAATTTTTGTCTCCTGAGTTTGATATAAGCCATTGTAGCTTAAAGAAAATACATTCAGTTTACTCTAAAATTCCCTACACGCCTTGTTCAGTATTAATTCCTCAAACCCTGGCACTCTTGTGTTATTGAGAGTATTCTGTATTCAGTATTCTGGTACAGCTAATACCCTGTGTGATCACAGCAAACAGATGGGCCATTTTGTACTGTTGCCAGCAAATAAGACCTACCATCTGTTGGTATAGTCACATACTAAAACTCTTACCTTATCTCACTTATTATTACATCCAGAAGACAATAAAGAGAAGGAACAAATATCCTATTAGATCAGGCTTACTGGTTTATTTGAAAGGAAGGTAAGGCAACCTGGATATTTTGTGAGACAGAGGATATGAGAGTGAATCTTTTTTTTTTTTTTTTTTTGGTACCAGGATTGAACTCTCAACCAATGAGTCACATCCCCAGCCCTTTTTAAAAAATATTTTTAGTTATAGATGGACACAATACCTTTATTTTATTTATTTATTTTTATGTGCTACTAAGCCTCACACATGCTAAGCAAGTAAGTGTTCTGCCACTGAGCCACAACCCCAGCCCCTCAGCACCCCCCGCCCTTTTTTTAAGAGACAGGGCCTCACTAAGTTGCTGAGTCTGGCTTTGAACTCATGATCCTCTTGCCTTCACCTCAGGAGCCGCTGAGATTACAGATGTGTGTCACTGCACTTGGCCATAGTACATAAATTTAGAGAAGGGTCAGAGAAAACTAAACAACAGAATTGAACAGACCTTTAACAACATGAGACTGGAGCAAGTATGTTGAAAAGGGATATTGATATTTGTGGAAAAAAAGTAGCTCAATAGGGTCAAGTAAAGAGAACTTCAGATAATGAGATATTATGCATACATTACGAATGATGATGAAACGGATTTTATAACCAGAGAAAGGAGGCATGGAATTATTGGAATTTGGAAAATGATCAAAGCAGCATTCTGTTAATCTCCTCTTCATTTAATAAAGGAGGCTTAAAAGTGAAACTCCTGGGGCTGGGATTGTGGCTCAGTGGTAGAGCGCTCACCTAGCACAGGCCAGACCTGGGTTCGATCCTCTCAGCACCACATAAAAATAAAGGCATTGTGTTGTATCCATCTACACCTAAAAAATAAATATTAAAAAAAGTGAAACTCCTCTGGAGCTGTGGATATAGCTCAGTGACAGAGCACTTGTCGAGCATGCGCAAAGCTCAATCCCCAGTACAAAAAAATTTTTTTAAATCCTAAAAAAATGAAACTCCTGCTGAATAAATTCTGATTGAGTTGGAATTAAAACTTTAAATCATAAAATACTTTGAAAGAAAGAGCCTCAGATTATTGTTATATGAACACAGAACAAGGAAGGCATAAAACTAATGTCAAAGTATTAATTTTTTTTTATTTTAAAGCTTTTTTTTTTTGTAGAGAGTTTTAGATTCCTGGCAAAATTGAGAGGAAAATATTGAGTTTTCCTATATACCTCCCAACCCCTACATATGCACAGCCTCTTCCACAATCAACAAACCCCACCAGAGTTATATATTTGTTATAATTGACAAACCTACACTGGTGGGTCATCACCACTCAGAGTCCATAGTTGACATTGAAGTTCATTCCTACCTGTGTACAGTGGTGCACTCCTATAATCCCAGCAATTTAGGAGACTGAGGCAGAAGGATCACAAGTTTGAGTCAGCCTCAGCAACTTAGCTGACACTGGCTCAAAATGAAAATTAAAAAGGACTGGAATGGGGCGGGGTTGTGGCTCAGTGGTAAAGTGCTTGCCTAGTATGTGTGAGGCACTGGGTTCAATTCTCAGCACTGCATATAAATAAATAAAATGAAGTGCATTGACAAGTAAAAAAATATTTTTAAAAAAGGACTGGGTTGTTGCTCAGTGGTAGAGCTCCCCTGGATTCAATCCCCAGTATAAAAGAAAGAAAAAAAAAACACCTCCCAGTATTGTAGGAAATGATGAATCTTGATAGACTTTGACTACATAAAATTTATTTATAAACGAAAAGCAAGATAAGATTACAAGACAAACTAGGGAATACATTTGTGATGTATTACAAAGGACTGCTATATCTGAAGTAATCTTAAATATTAGTGAGGAAAAGACGAATATTTATTTTGCTTATTTTGGAGCTGTGGGTTGAACCTAAGGGTTCAGACATGTTAGACAAGCAATCTATCCCCCCCAAGATGAATACTTTAGGATTTAAAAAAAAAGGTCATAAGATCATAAGTAGGCAACTCACAAATGTCAAAAATATTGACAAAAATATGAGGGAATTTCAGTTTTACTAGTGAACAAAAAAATGTAGTTCCATCACAAATTTGAATAAAATGAGCTTGTCCAAGCTTATGGAAGGGTTGGCTTTTGAAGAACAGCGTGATAGTATGTATCAAAGATGTTAAGGTTTGGATATGACACGTCCCCCAAAAACTTCTATGTTAATTCAGGAATATTCTGAGGTAAAATGATTGGATTGTGAGAGCTGTAACTTAATCAGTTCATCCTAGTTTGAATGGACTGACTTGATGGTTACTATAGGTGTGGGGCTTGGCTGGAGAAGATGGGTCACTGGGTGTGCCTTAGAAAGGTGTATCTTCCCTCTAGCCCCTCCCCCAAACCCTCTCTGCTTCCTTGTTTCCTTGAGCCAAACACTTTTTTCTGCCACATCCTTCCTCCATGATATTCCGCCTCATTCCAACCTAGAGCAATGAAGTCGACTGCCCATGGACTAAAAATCTGAAACTGTGAGCCAAAATAAGTTTCCTCGTCTAAGTTGTTCTTGTCAAGTATTTTGGTCATAGAGACAAAGCCAACACAAAAATCCTTTAAAGTTTGAGAGTAATTGTTTTCTTCCTGTGAGGCATAATGTTAACTAGTGGATAAAGATTAGCACATTTAATCCTCAAAATGCCCTTTTATGCAAATTTGGTTATTTCCATTTTAATGATATAGGAAATTGAAATGTTGAGGAATAATATGCCAACTTCTTCAAGGTCATTTATCTAGTTATTGATAGTCAGGACCTGGAGCCCAAGCAATATACCTCCAAAACCTGAGTCCTTAACAACTATGTGTGTCTAAAAATTTATTCCCCCAAAATATTTGGGTATATGTACCCATATCTTTATCATATTATTTAGAAGAGCAGAAACTTTTAAAACAATTAAATGCACAGCATTCCATTTCAAAGACCATAATGTGACTCTTAAAACTCGGGTTAAGCCTGGCGCAGTAGTGCACACCAGTAATCTCAGCAGTTCTAGAGGCTAAGGCAGGAGGATCCCAAATTCAAAGCCAGCCTCAACATCTTGGTGGGGCTCTAAGTAATTTAGCAAGACCCTGTCTCAAAATATTTTTAACAAAAGAGCTGGAGGTATGGGCTGGGGTTGTGACTCAGCAGTAGAGTGCTCACCTAGCATAGCATGTGAGAGGCCCTGGTTTGATCCTCAGCACAGCATTAAAATAAATAAATAATAGTATTGTGTCCAACTAAAAAATAAATATTTTTTTAAATCTTTAAAAAAAAGAAGTGGGGGTGTGACTCAGTGGGTAAGTACCCCTGTGTTCAGTCAAGG